GAGATCAGCTGAGATCCTCGCGAGATACTTTCGCAATTGTCTAGCTTCATATCGAGAGAAGGAACAAAAAATCTTCCCACTGTGGACGATGAATTGAAAAAAGAGAAACGTTGGTGCCTTTGCCTTCATAATTCCGAGTTTGTATATTTAAATTTCTCGTGGATGCAGAAATATTTACGGTGGGCCAGAAATCATTTTCTGCTAAAATAAATCCGTAATCTTCTCTAATTTTTTTTTTTTCTTTTACAGATTAAAATACACAAAAAAAAATTTAAAATTAATAAAACTAGTTTATTCTTTAATTACATTTTGATGTTTTATTAAAATATGTGGGAAGAAACTTTTGACCCTGTATTTTACGCGGAATTTGTTAAATTATCGTTTGAACTCGTTTGACTGTCTTATTGCATTTTCTTTTGTGTTACGCTGTGAGATAATTAACGAGAATAAATTTCGTACGTACAATTTCTCATTAATATTCGGTAGATTAAACAAATTGTTACAATTTTGTACGATGAGATAAATTTGTGCAGTAAGAAGAAGTATGCAGTAATAAACTTGGGCTTATTTTAAAGTTCATGGTCTCTACTTTCAAAATACATAGTTCGTTTTATTATATTATTATTATAGATAATAACAAAGCGAAGACATTTTTCTTCTCGGAAATGCTGTAAATTGACGCAGTATGTCAAAACTTCAAAAAAAATTTGCTCAATGATTGAATCTATAATCAATTATTGAACTTTGAAATCGAGCCAAAATGTTACGATTTCTTAAACTCGTCGTCTAATCCTAATATCCAAAGTTCAATGAAATAGCAAAAGAGAGCATTTCAATCACGAAAAAAAAATATTTTCAACATCTTTACGTACTCTGACAATTTCTGAGAAGAAATCTCTTCGTTTTGCCATCTGCTACATAGATAAAAACAACTTGAAATGATATCTTTCAATAGTAGAGGCTTCAAGTAAGTGCTTGTACTACATTGTTTGCAAAATTGCAACAGTTTAAATGTCCCGAGTGAATATTAACAGGACTCGCTGGAGAAACGTTGACACGTGCGATCAAAACCATCGAAGAATTTAATTTCGCCGAGGCACGTGCAATCGCTTTCGATCAGTCGATGAATCTTGAATCATTATTCCGCTGAATTCGACCCAAACGACATCTCGTTTTGGTTATGCTTTCTCGTTTACGTGCCTCGATGCGCGATGCAGTGTCTGCGAAACGCGGCGCGACGACGATATCGTTACGTAAGCAATACCATCGCATTCTTACCGGGGGAAACATCCGTTGAATAAATTCGTAATAAAATACATCTATGGTAATGAGGATCCGCTCACTTTAGATTCCTTCTAAAGGTGCTTCTTAATGGACTCTTCGATATTTTATGATTCAAAGATGTGAATTTTACTTGATGTTGGTCGTCCAAAAATATTAATATAATATAATTCTTAATATAATATAATATAATATAATATAATTCTTAATATAATATAATATAATATAATATAATATAATTCTTAATATAATATAATATAATATAATATAATTCTTAATATAATATAATATAATATAATATAATATAATATAATATAATATAATATAATTCTTAATATAATTCGTAATATAATTCTTCGATATTTTATGATTCAAAGATGTGAATTTTACTTGATGTTGGTCGTCCAAAAATATTAATATAATATAATATAATTCCTAATATAATATAATATAATATAATATAATATAATTCTTAATATAATATAATATAATATAATTCTTAATATAATATAATATAATATAATATAATATAATTCTTAATATAATATAATATGATATAATATAATTCTTAATATAATTCTTCGATATTTTATGATTCGAAGATGTGAATTTTACTTGATCTTGCTCGTCTAAAAATATTAATGTAATATTTGTTTGACACTCGGATAATTGTATCAAACTGTTCTACGTGTAAATCACTATAATTTAAATGATGATTGAAACAAGATTTATGCAATCGTGCTTCTGATTTCCAAACAGAAATTAATATTAACTTTGACAGAAACAGCCGTATCCTTTAAGTATGTTCAAACTGTTATAGAAAGTTTGAGATCAGTCGTATTCGAGTGTTATAGTACATTAATAAAATTGTAATACTACAATAACGAAAATTATAACAGTTATTTATAACACGTAGACTGCTACGATTGGTCATTTTTATTTCTATAATAAATATTTTTAAATAATTAGAATGAGACGAATATCATTGGCAGTGAATTTTGAATAACGCAACTGATCGGGGAAAATACGCTTTTGTGATGTAATATTTTACATAAATTAAATATTTTGTCCCACGAGAGAGGAGATGGTGAAAGCTTCGCGTGGCAAACTGGCGATCTTTGAGAAAATCTGTCGAGTGTTCGATTATTTTCAAAAATTGGGGAAATTATACGCGTATTGATGCGGAAACGCTGGTATTTACTGATATTTCTTCCTTCTTAACAATTAGAGGGGGAAATTCGAAATTTAATAACTCGATTACGCGATCATCCGAGTACACTACGCTGGTTACACGTTACAGGGATGAACGCCTCGAGCTATTGAACGCAATTTAGCATGTAAACTTCTGCGTGTAATTTATATCTCCCTCGCTTTTGCTTGATTAATTGCTAAAATCGCTCTATTAAACGAGCGAGATCGCGATAAGGAAGTTATTGCGTTTATCTTTGATAACCAGAAGACGAAAAAGAGGGAGGTAAAGGAAACCGTCGTACCTTGAAACGCTTTACGTTTTAACTTAGTTTGTCCAAAATTCAGTCACCACCGAATTATTCTGATAATAACCATTCAACATCTCAAGACGCTCCGTTGTGCCTGATGAATTAACCTTGCGACTTTCTCTCTAGAAACTGCGTTCACCTTCGTTTTTAAATAACCTCCGCTCATCAAGCTGCTGATTAGAAGTTTTTTTCCAAGCAGCAAGGTATTTCTAAGCGACACTTTATTTATCACAATCCCTCGACACGGATCCAATTCAACCGTGATTACCTGGGAAAAGAATCGATCCGGCTGCTATCTCAGTCCCGTTCATCCCCCGTATCTGTATCGATAGGATTGTCACGAATCCCCGAGGATGGCAAACCTCCTAACACGAACGCGTTCCTCGCGAAACGTCTCTCCCTCGGGGAAGATTAACACGAGCCGCGATCTCTCTTCCGGTTCTAATTCCATGCACGTACGAAAAACCACCGTTTGTCGCGTTATAGGATATACCCTTAAACTCTCGCTCGGCGGAAACTTTGGAAATTCCGAGCCGGCGAAATTTCCGCCGCATTTTCGGGATTTCAGCCGGCGGAACGCTTTTTCAGCTCGTCCCTCTCGCTTGCATCTCGCTCGAACGCGGCCTCGGTCACGTATTAGCTACGGATTAAGCGAGTTGGTTGGCCGGTTGTTGCTTCACTTTTCATTCCCCGATCCAAGCTTGGCTAAGCTTGGATAACTTTGGCCAGTACCAGTTGTATAATGGCTCGGATATGAACGGTCAACGGCTGACGTAAACCGTGCGGTTGTTCGGCGCAGTTCGCGTTAATTTCGTGGCCACTCCCGTTGCTATTCAGCGGAATTAAAATTAAAAGTACCGTCTTGATGTGCTTCATGCAACTAATGGTGCCCATACATAGGTATGTTAAATGAGGCAGAAAGAAACTTAAACATATACGTCTTACTCTGTAATAATTTCCACCTATCTGTCTTTTCATTTTCCTTTGTAATAAATTTTTGAAATTGTAAAGAGACTTTATGGACACCCTGTAGAGTGATCACAGATGTCGACGAGAAATTTGTCGATAATTTAAATCGTTGAAAAAGAGAATCTGCTCGGGCTCGTTTTAGAAGCGTAAAGCTTCTACTCTAACTGTCCTAATTTCGTTTTTTTTTTTTTTTTTTTTTTTTTTTTTTTTTTTTTTTTTTTTTTTTTTTTTTTTTTTACGTAATCAGAGAATTAAAATACAATGAACATATCGAAATTGTCGATAACTTAAATCGTTACAAGTTGAAAAAGAAAATCTGCTCCGGCTCGTTTTAGAAGCGTGAAGCTTCTACTTTGACTGTCCTAATTTTTCTTTTACTTCATCAGAAAATTAAAATACAGAACATATCGATGAAAAATTGTCAATAATTTCAATTGTTGCAAGTTGAAAAAAGAATCTGCTCGGCTTCATTTTAGAAGCGTAAAGCTTCTACTTTAACTGTCCTAATTTCGTTTTTTCTTTTTCTTTACATAATCAGAGAATTAAAATACAGCACATATCGATGAAAAATTGTTAATAATTTCAATTGTTGCAAATTGAAAAAAAGAATCTACTCGAGCTCGTTTTTGAAACGTGAAGCTTTCTCTTCTGGGGGGAAGATAAGGATACTTCTCTTCTGGAAAATTATGAAAGTTCAAACGTCTCTGAACGTATTGAAAAATATTTTTCATAACTAAATCTGATCTCTGTCTTAGATACTGAAGTCTCCCCTCTGTAATGATTCATGGAAACTTGCTCTACATTTTATTGAATTTCGAGCATTAAAGCCAGATAACGAAATGTTAGGATTTCTTGAATTTTTGTCGTTCAGTTCTAATGTTCAAAGTTCGCAGGAATCGAAATCATAAAGGTTTTAATGGATCGTTGTAGAAACTTCGATCTTCAAGATTATAGATTTTCTTTTTCAAGAAGGAAAACACTTTTCCATTTGCTAAAATGTCTTGGGAAGAAAACAAATTCAAGGCAAAATCAAACAAATTCAAACCAAATCAAACTAAACAGAATAATTTTAACAAAGTTGTAACAAAATTATCAGTTTGAGGTAATTTTGCCGCCGTAAAGCTGTCTCCACGAAAACAATTCGTATCTGTCGGAATAGCGATGGTGAAACACGTAATAGCGATGGTAAAATTTTTCTGGCACAGCTGACACAAATGCGCGAAATGTGATTTTTTTTGTCGTCTGTTGCAGGCCGAAATATGGAGCGTGTTCATCGCTATTTTGAGGAAGAGCGTGCGGAACTTACAAGCGTGTACAGACGTAAGCCTCATCGAACACGTGCTGCTTCGATTGTCCCGGGCTGAGACTGTTGTCGCAGGTGAGCCCTTATCTAGCGTGCGCCTGCACGCGTGTCTATGGACGGCCGACACACACGATTTAACCAACGAGCAATTTTCCTCTGTTCGATAGATTTATTGATCGACATGCTTGGAGTGTTGGCCAGCTACAGTATAACAGTGAAGGAGTTGAAGCTCTTATTCGGTGCTATGAAAGCTGTGAAAGGGAAATGGGTAAGAATTCAAGACCATCAGGGTGCAACTCCATTTTTACTCGCGGCGTGTAAATATATCCGTAGAAAGATATTTCACATCGTTCGATGCTAGTCGAAATGCAAATCCAACAACGAACGAACGAGTTATTTGGATCTGCATTTATTTTTATTATCTTGTGCAATATGAATGCAGACTTGTTTACGTTTTGCCGTAATGCAATTAGCTATCAAGTTCCAGCTACGTTGACTGAAAATAATTTTACAAATAATGACAAATAATGTCAAGCAGGCACAAGAATGATGTTACTTTTTGACGTCGTCCACGAAAATGTGAACGTACCATTTCCATATACTAATGAAACAATAATAAATTAACTAAGATTGTGTCCCACAGATAATAATGACGAGCAAGCTCAATAATAATTATTTTTTAACGATAACAAAAAATGTGAACGTATGGTTATCTTATTTTACCAACGCAAGCAATAATAAACTAATAGATTATTCCACAGATAATAGTAACGACGAACAGACTTAAGAATAGTGTTATTTTTTGACATCTACAAAAGTAACGTATCATTTCCAACGATAATAAATTAACAGATCGTGTTCTTTGTTATGCAGAGTTAGAAAAAAGTTAGAAAAACTTTGAATTGAAAACGTGTCGCCAAAATTAAAACCCATCAAGTTATAATTAGTTTCTGCTGTATATGAGAAAATATATATTTTTCAATTAGCTCTTCAATGTTAAGTCAACTCAATGATTTTTTAAACACTTCTCTTTTCTTTTTCATTCTATTATTACTCTATTTTATTTATTCATTTTTATTATTATTTATTTTTATTTATTCATTTTTATTATTATTTATTTTTATCTATTCATTTTCATTATTATTTACTTTTATTTATTCATTTTCATTATTATTTACTTTTATTTTTTCTACTTTTTTATTCTATCATTATTCTATTTCATTCTATTATTATCGATTTTTGTTGAATCTCGCAAAAAAAAAATTCGAAATTGGTAAAAATGGAATTGCACCCCTTTCTTCGATCACGAAGTACTGAAACGTTCTTGCTTGTGTCGCAGCCACGACATTCGGCGAAACTGTTGAACGTTCTCCGCCAGATGCCGCAACGGAATGGACCGGACGTGTTCTTCAGTTTCCCCGGCAGAAAGGGATCGGTAAGTCGATCTCCATCCATTCCTTCCACCCGTACGTCCTTATTCTCCACCGCCGGAGAGATAACGCCGTTCGATTCTGAACTCTATTAAACTTTCGATAAGAAAATTCGCCTTGTTTCACGGAACTTCTGCTCTCGCGCTTAATCCGTCGAATCAGATGACGTATTGATTCTTCGAGCCGGTTCAATTCCACGCGGGCCGAACAGCTGGAAAATCATTGGAATTAGTGGAACTTGAAACTCGATGAAGGTTGAACACGGATCTGTCACGTAGATACACGTTTGAAACTTGTGTTTCGAAAACTCATTGGATACACACACTCTCTGGGGATAAAAAGGCGGCACACTCTAAAAATCAATAAGTTTCTTTCTGTCAAAAAAATGATATACAATCTTTTTTGTATGCATTTTTTCAACGTGTGTATTTGTAATAAAAATAAATCAAACGTTTTGCATTTGTGTTATTAAAAAAAACACACATTTTGCCAAATTTCGGAATTATTTCTTT